GCTGATTGAGATTCTTTTCTGGCCACAGGTAGGTTGAATAGGGAAGAGGAAAGTGACTTCAAGGTAAAAGTCCCCTGGTTTCACCTCCCACTTCCAAAATATCCTATTTAGAGCAAAATATTTTCACTTTCTTTCTCTCAATAAATATATTCCTCCTTTCAACACTGTTGTTTCTAAAATTCATTCTTGCATTTTAGAGAAGAAAAACTCATACTAGACATAGAAGGTCAGGAATTTCATTCCACTATATCACAGTATGTCTGCCTGTGTTTCTAACTAGCTCAGCTGCCTGTAACTTTAAGAATTGTTTATTAATTCAACTTGGAGTAACTGTAGCAAATAAAATGTTCTTAATGAATATAGGGAAATATATCACTAAATTGAAAAAATTATTATCACAGTTTTTCTCCCTAGCACCAGGCAACATTTTCAACTTTCAAATATATGGGAAAACAAAAAATAAAACCAACTCAGAAAATAGCAATCCTATAAGGGACAGTATATCATTCACTGTAATTGCCATGTTATATGCAGGTATTTCATAGACCACAAAAGAAACATTGAGCCTATTAAATACCAAGTATCAGTTTCAATAAATGTGCTCATAATACCTCATCATTGACAACTGTGATTTTTTTTCTGTATGAGGGATTGAACTCATGACCTTGTGCTCTCCAGGCAGCTCCTTGTATCACTGAGCTCAATCCCCAGACCCAACAACTTTAGACACTAAATATGACTATTAACAATGTTTAATTTGCCTTGACATATTTAGTTATAAATTTTGTAAACTTACGTTTTCACAAATGAAATTATTTTCTTTCCTTGCAGTTTAAACTACTTTATTTTAGGTATCACGGATCAAAGTTACAACCTCGCACTTTCCAGGCTGGCATTTCTGCCTCTTGAGATAAATCTCTGGCCTGTATTGATGAATATTTCACTCTATTCATTCAAATAGAACTTTGATTTTAGCAAAGGATGTCAATGTAGAGAGAAATTGATATACAATCAGAGAGGAACTGGAACCTCAAATAGTCAATGCAAAAAACTAAATACAACAATCTGCTACAGGCACAGCTGAAGAAAGCCAGACCTGAAGGTGAAGATGCAGTAACCAGGTCTACATGGTCCTGAAGAGAAAAACAACAGCTTGAAATGTACTACAGTTACCACCACCTCCTCCAGGAAGTTCAGATGGGCATCAATTACCATAGTCAATGACCAGAACAACTGGACTATTGTTCCCACAAAATGCCTTGGCTTTTTCCACATACCTTTTCTGGCTGACTTGTTCCCCTGCTGAATAGTATTAGTTAAGCAGCTATAAGCTTATAGGTTGATTGTAGTCTGAGACCCACACTGTACCCACATTGTGACTTTACTGTATAAATGACCCCTGACAATAGGTCTGTGGCCAAAAAACCGAAGACCACTCCTGAAAATTCAGGATTATTCTTCACTATTTTTTTCTAAGAAAATTTTTGAACTTCTTTTGGTTTGTGACTTCCTTTCTCAATGTTGTGAGCCATTAAACTTGATGTATTTGATATCAAACAGGGCAGGATTATATTTCTCTTATCTCAATTTAAATATGAAATGTCTGCTAAAGGCATTGTTCCAAAGCCAGAATTTCAAGCTGCTTGTTTGCCCTGAGTTTAACATTTCCATGAGCTTTTAGAAGTCCTCAGTCTAGTGAATTGCAAATGTATTGGAGGAAGGAGGTCAGTGTTGTCCTGTAGCACAATAGGTGCCATTCCTAAGTCTGTGTTAGTCACTGCCTCCTGGATGCCACTACATGGCCTTCTTTCCTCTGCAACATCATTCAATAATTCCCATTTTACATAAGTCAAATTTCACTCAGCTCTATTATTGTTTGTTTTCAACAGTCTTTCTGTCTACTTGGTTGTTTTTTTGTTTTTTTCATTTTAGTTTTTTGATTTAAAGACAGTCTCACTTTGGAGTTCTGGCCAGACTTGCACTCACTATGTAGGTTAGGCTGTCTTTGAATACATGACCATTCTCCTGTTTCAGCTTCTTCATTGCTGGGGAAAAGAGGTGGGCATTATAGCACATGGCATTTGTCTTTTTCTCTTCTCCTTTTCACTACTATTCTTTCACTTCAGGGGCACTGTCATTTAATCCTGAGGTTTGCTTGTGGCAGTAAGCTTTCTGCAGCTTGAGGTGAGTTTGTGAACAATAATATAGGAAGCCAAGCAATCCAATTGAGAAATGTGAAATTTCATTAGCTGGTCTCAGGACCACTTTTATACAGAACCCCTACCCCCATTTCAGGATCTAAACAAGAGGCTCTGAACTGGAAAGTTACAGATGTTTTAAAAGATAGAATCACAAAAAGATCCTGTTGGAAATCATTTAGATAGAATCTTATAATAATTTTTGGATGACAACTGTATTCTACTTCTTTTATTGAGCAGTTTATTTTTTTTCCTTTGGGTACAGCTCATTTTGCTTTTCTCCTGGGACTTCTATCCTGAATGATTTTCCATTTTTCTGAGTGAAATACAGGGAACTAGTTAAATGCAAAGCTCAAGATGGCATCTATTATGTCAACCTACAACACAGCTAAGTTACAAGGCTCAATATTTTCTAGGGTAAAAACACACATATCTATAATCCCAGCACTCAAGAGGCTGAGACAGGAGTGCTGCTTTGAGGTTAGGGCAATTTTGTTCTCCATAAAGGGTTCAAATCTACCTGATATACATAGAGAAAACTTGTCTCAATAAAACAAAACTAAACTACACAAATAAAACCAAACAAAACAGCTGAATGGAGACTGATTTCTTCAAATCTTAATTCCACATCTTGGGGATTAATTTTTGTATATACACATTTTTTGAGACAGCAAATTTGATGCTATATTGCAACTCACAGCTAATGTAACAGCCAAATAGGAGCAATGATTCTTATGCTGAGTCACTGCAAGAGTCCCTGTGCACTGCCTCTAAAGCAGAGCTCATAATGAGAGCCTGCAGGACCAGTATCCATAAAGCACAGAGGCAGACAAATATCTCATGAATCACTTTGATGTACTAACAGTGATATCTCTTCAAATCTCATTTAGGCCACTGAGTCCTTTGTTCTTAATATACTTAAGCAGCATTTTGATATTTAAATTTGGTTTCATAGAACAAAACATAAATAACATCAAATATGATACATAAATAATAATTCAAATGTTCATGGAAAACTTCTGTATGTAAAAAATGTATAAACAATGAAACCAGGTACAAGTTTCAAATTAGAGCTCAGGGTCACCAAGTGATCACTCTCCATTCATATATAAGAAATATATCTTGGGAGGCTGATGCAGAACTTCCTTGAGTTTTGGGCTAGCCTAAGTTACAGAGCTGCCTGAAATAGAGAAATCATGACTGAGACACCCCACAGACAATGTGAAACTTGAAAAGTGACAGCATACGACACCTTTGGTTTGCTTTAAAAATTATATCCATACAATATATCATACATAGTATACAGAATATCATACATAGTATACAGAAAACACTTCAGAGCTGGGTATTTAGCTCAGCAGCATGAACACCTACATACCAAGCTTGAGATCATGAGTTCGATCCCTGTTACAAAAAAAATTCAAATTTTACCTTCATGACACTGGGTCATAATTAGAGATAATCAAAATTAGATCTCAAGTGAAGAACATAGAATTCATGGGTTGACAAGGATGTGGAATACTGATTCTTACCAGAGCTGGTGTTATTCACCTCAAGGAAGAAATCAGAAGCCAACTTTAACTTCATGCTTACCCTAGGAACTACCTGACTTTCAGGGAAGGCCCTCTCTGTTGTATGTCCTGCTATTGGCACTCTGCATCCTGCCAGTCACTTCCACATCCTTTCCATGCTCCTCTGATCCATCCTTTACACCACTTAGTAAAGTCCACTGCAGAGCATTTCCATTTTTCAACAATGTATACGATCAACCAAGCTATTAAATCACCTCTTAATTCAGAGATGACACCCACATTCCTTTCCATTCAGTAGGATATCACGTGTATATGTTCATGCAAATGACTACATTTAGGCATTTTTTCAGTGAGAATTTAACAGGCAGCCGTTTCTGGAATTTGTCTTAGCAAGCACACTTTACCCTGCCCTTGATGACACTTTTATATCTGCTTCATTTTTCTGAAAATTTAAACCTCTATGGCTGTTCTCCCAAACATCGTCTATCAGCACATGTGTCACATAAAGTATGTTCAGAAATTCTTTGCATTGTTCTGTATAATACACAGCAGTTCATCCGGTGTTTTTGGAAGCCTTCCTCCACTGAGGCACCTCACTATACATCTTTGAATTCTCAGAACATTTGTCTTCCTTTCATGAGCATGGAAATATGAGAACATAGTATAAATTTAGGCAATCACAAAATCCATAAATGCATAAGTTTAAGGAGAGCAGTTGTGGCTATAAGGTCCTGCAGCACAGGCATTTATAAACTTCTGGTTTTCAGATCTGTTGCTGACAGGAATGAGAGCAGAGAAACCCAGCTTGAAACCACATCGGAATCAGGGTCTCCTCATGCCCCTTCCTGGGCCCAGACTGTTGGAGGACCAAGGGCAGCAGGCGATTTCAAAAATGGCATTGTGGCCTTGTGGTATCACAGTGGCGACAGCGTTCTAGGGACCCAGAACTGTCCTGGCCCCAGAGAGAGGTAAAAGGGTCACAGGATGACTCCCTGCTAGCACTAGAGCGCCTCAGGGTCTGAGGCTAAGCACACAGGCTCTAGACAGCACAGCTGCTTCTCACCACTTGTTTTTTTTTTTTTTTTTTTTTTTTTTTTTCTTTTGGTCTTTTTCCTTTTTATCGGTACCGGGAATGGAACTCATGACTGCCTGCTTGCTTTCAAGGCAGGCGCTTATGCCGCTGAGCTAAACCCCCAGCCCCTTCTCACCACTTCTATCTGGTCTCAATCGGATTCCACCCCATTTCACTGCTCCCGTCCCATAACATCACCATTGCGTAGTTTGGAGGTCTCCCAGGTTCTTTCTAAGCGGTCCACATCAAATAGAAGCAAAACATAGTGGTCTAGCAAACATCTAGTGCTCCCTTTTTTGGCCCTGGCCTTGCAATTGACGCCATGACACCGGAAGAGACCGCCTACATTGACCCGCTTGATTGGACAGTTCTTACAGCCGCCGCTTCATCACTGATTGGCTCCTGCTCTCCTGCCTGCCTTCTCCACCAAGAATAATTACAGAAAAAAAACCCACCCTGAAACTGTGGATCCCCAATGAAAGACGGTGGAGGCTTCTGGAGCTGGCTGTCTTCTGGAATGTTGACTTCAGCTCGTCTGATGGGTATTTGCACTGAAAGTCTTTACCTCAGTCCTTGTTTTTCCCCCAAAGCCATTTTATTTGAAAGTTAAAAAGTAAAAAAAGTGGTCCAGGGATTTAGCTTAATTGCCTGCCTGGCAAGCTAGAGGTCGTGCATTCCATCCAATATCTGGCTACCACAAACTGTGCTGCTATAAACGTGGGTGCAGATATATCACTGTGGTATAATGATTTTTATTCTTTTGGGTAGATACCCAGAAGGAGAATAGCTCAGTTGAGAGGGACCTGTAGACCTAGTTTGTGTGGGATCTCCACACTGATTTCCACAGTGGTTGCTTTACCACCAACAATGGAGAAGGGTTCCTTTTTCCCCCACAACCTCTCCAACATTCGTTATTGCTTGATTTCTTGACAGTAGGCATTTTTTCTGGGGCAAGGTGACATATCAGTGTTATTTAATTAGCAATTGTTAAATGATGAGTGATGCAGAACATTTTATCACATATTTATTTGCTGTTTCTATTTCTTCATCTGAGAACTGTGTATTTCACCTCAGATGCACATTTTTGGATTGGGTCTTTAAATCTGGGAAGACTGAATATTTTTAGTTTTCCGTGCTCTCAATAGTAATACTTTGTCTGAGGAACAGTTGGCAAACCTTTTCTCCCAAGTTGTGGGTTGTCTTTTCACTCTGTTAGTGATTTCTCTTGCTGTTAAAAAGTTTTTCAGTAAGGTGAGATTCTCACTTAATTCTCTTTGATTTTTGCTGTTCAATCCAAGTTTTCTTCATAAAGTCTTTGCTTACGTCCATGTCTTCAAGAGTTTTACTTACTCTATTTTGCAGCTGATTTAGTGTTTCTGTTTTAATATAAGATCTTTCATCTATTCTGATCTTAGCTTAATACACGTTGAAAGATAATATTCAGAACGTATACAGCCAGTTTTTCCAGCACCATTTATTAAAGAGGCTGCTTTTCTTCCAATGACTCTGTTTGGCACCTTTGTCAAATGTAAGATGGTTTAGTGGTCTGGGGTTGTTTCTCCGTCTTCTAATTTGTTCCTTTGATCTTTGGGTCTGGTTTTGTTTGTTTTGTTTTTTGTCAGTACCACACCTTTTTTTTTTAAATCACAATACCTTTATAGTATAATTTCAAGTCAGGTATTTTGATGAACCCTATCTTTCCTTTGTTGCCCAGGGTCACCTTTTCTACTCTAGGTCTCTTCTGGTCCCAGATGAATTTTCAGATTTATTTTGTGTAATTCTTTGAGATATGCTATGGGGTTTTGATTGGGATTGCACTGAATCTGTACAATAGCTTTGGAAGTATGGTCATTTTCACTATATTGAATTTCCCTACCCAAGACTATGGGATAGCTCTTCATTTTAGAATATCTTCTTCAATCTCCCTTTTGAGAGTACTGTAGTTTACAGTGTAGAGGTCATTTACCTCCTTTGTTAGATTGATTCCTAAGTATTTCATTTTGTTGGATGCTATTGTAAATGTTATTGTTTCCTTGATTTCTCTTTCCATGAGTTTTTTATTCATGTTTATGAAGTCTATTGATTGTTGAGTGTTGCCTTTGTAACCAGCTATATTACTGAATCTGCTTCTTAAACTAGAAGTCTTTTGGTGGAATTTTTAGGGTCTTCTAAGTAGAGCATCATGTCTTCTGCAAATAAGGATAGTTTAAGATTTTCCTTTCCTATCTTTATTCCTTTTATTTCTTTCTCTTGTCTAATTGCTCCAGCTAGTTTCCAGGACTATATTGAATAAGAGTGGAGACAGTAGACATCCTTGTTTTGTTCCTGATTTTAGAGTGAAAGCTTTCAGTTTTTGTCCACTTAGTATGAGGTTGACTGTTGGTTTGTAACAAAAGGCTTTTATCAGATTGAGATAAAGATCATCTCACGCAATTTTTGTAGGTTTTTTATTATGAATAGGTGATGGACTTTGTCAAAATCTTTTTCTGCATCTATTGAAATGATCAAATGATTTTTGCTTTTGGATTTGTCAATACAGTGTACTATATGTATGGATTTATATATGTTGAACCACCCCTGCATCCCAGGGAATAATTCACTTGATCATGCTGTAAAGTCTTCTTGATGATATTCTGCAGTCTGTTTGCCAGTATCTTATTGAGGATATTTGCTTCAATGTTCACTAGGCAGAATGGTCTGTAATTCTCTTTCTTATTTGGATTCTTCTCTGGTTTTGGTATCAGGGTAATTCTTGCCTCCAGGAATGAATTGGGAAGTACAATTTCCCATTCGATTTCATTAAATTTTGAGAAGTGGTGGTGTTAGGTCTTCTCTATATTTCTTATTTATCCCTGCCATTTCATGGCTACCCCTGCTTTCTTTCAAGGATCAGTGGACTCTTTCCATAATGGACTGCAAATATTTTCAGGATTCAGGTTGAATCCTCCAGGAATAAAAAATCCACTGATGTCAGAAAATATTCTGATAACAGGCCAGGGCAGGACACAACAGAACAGAGAGTAGGAAGTCTGTGTTAGAGGCAGCAGACTTCATTTTCATGATTTTTTACTCTTTTCTATTAATTTTCCACCAAGAAACCCAGTATGTGAACACAAAAGGAGCACAGTTACCATGTAAAGTGAAGACATCACATTTAAATGATAGTAATGGTCTGCAACAGAGTAAGGATGAAATAAAAGCAAGCATCAGTTCTCCAAGACAAGCTTGCTACTCATTCAGACTCATAAAAAATGCTGAATTCTGAAAGTGCTCATATTGCCAAGCATGGGGGTGACAATTATTGCTGGAATGGAACCAAATTCCTAATCCAATTAAACATTTCCTTCTGATGAGGCAGGGACACCCAAGGAATTCACACTCTAAGTTCCCCTTGCCATATAGTTCCCTTGTCACTAACTGGCACTCAGCTCTTTGTTGTACTCTACTAAAAAAAAAGGGCCCCATGATTAAAAAGTGGGGCAAGACCCCAAGACAACAAATGGGGCAAGATGTCTTTTTTTAAACAAGCGCTTTTATTTTAGCTGGCCCAGCAACACAGTGCATATGGAATTTGCAAAGCTGTGCAACTGAGTTAGAGTTTTGACTGATTTTTATAGTTCATTTATGATTAGCTCATTGATCATTAAGTACATAGTGATGAGAAACAGAAATAAGGTGGGCCTTTGTTTCCCTTTGCTTGAGGTCAGAGGCATTTCACAGTGGGTGATAGCCAATTCATAGCCCTTGGTCTGCCAATTCCAGGAATATTTGTCTCTCATAAAGGGAACAGTGGTTGACACAGCATCATTTGTCTCTTATAAGGGGAACAAAAGTTGACATAGCACACAGGTCACTATGGTGGAGGAGATGACACATTACAGAACAGCAGAACAAAGTGGTCAGTTAATTTATAACTATGTGGTTGTTCCTTGGTTACTAGGGTAATGAGCTCAGTACAGAATGACAATATTACTAATAACTATCTTTTTAAGTAACTATTTATGTTAATTATCTTTTAATCAATGATTTTAATTTTTAGCATCTTAGTATAGCATTCCCAAATGATTTTTGTCAGTGAGCCAAATCATTGGCTCATGGAATTATCAAGCAGTGGTATTTGTTCATAAACTTGTGTCCTTAAAACCATGAGTTTTATTGTTTGAACTTGGTCTTTGACATAATTTACTAATCTGTTTATAATGCAAGGTCCAATTATTAAACAAGTAAGTTACATTAACAGAGGTCTGGAGGCTGCTATGATTAACGTTGTCAACCAGGGAGATAGAGAAAACCATCGCTAAAACCAATTCTGTTCAGCTTGTCTGGCTTGTTCTTCATCCTGTAGCTGCCTTTTAAGGCTGTCCATACTTTGTCTGATAACCCCAGAATGATTGGCATACAAACAACAATTTTCTCCTAATGCCAGACAAAAGCCACCTTCCTTTAGAAACAGGAGATCTAGACCCTGCCAGTTTTGTAAAACCATCTCAGTCAGTGAACTTAAAGAATCATCTAATTTGGAGACAGAGTCTCTAAGGTCTGCTAAATCTTGGTCAATGAGTGCAGTAAGTGTCTATAATTTTGGTCTTTTGACTATTAGGCTGGACACTCTTAAACCTATTGACCTTGTTATCTCAATTTTTAGTAATACAGGTAATAATACAGAATTTTTTTTTGTTCTTACTGGACTCTTTAAGTCAAAGCTAGGGAACAAGTGAGTCTTACCATTATCTCTAGAGTACCAATACACTTGGGGAAAGATATGGACTAATATGTAAAGCTCAGGGCACTGGGTAAACAGGTGATACATGGAACAAGGAGTTATATTAGAAGTACAGGCAAACCAGGCTCCATTGGGAGCAACAAGGTATTGATTAGCAGGATAGGAAAAAGTATAAATCAAAGGTGAAGAGGTAGGATTACAGAGTGCAGCATTAGGGGAAGTGTGCAAGGAGAGGGAGGCAGAGTAAACACAGGTTCCTGGAGCACTCTGTACATTGTCCAGTGTGAGCAGGAGCTTAGCATCCCACCAACAAAGGTGTCGTCTGTACAGGATTTAAAAGTTGATTTGCCATAAGCAATGTCCAGAGGCAAGAAGGGGCTAGAGATGTCACAGAAATCGCAGAGCGCAAAAAGGTCTCAGGAGCAGGAAGTCTAGTGGAGGAGAACAGAAGATGGGGTCTCAAGAGTGAGGAAAAAGGTAAAGACCCCCTTTATTTTTCTGTCAAGGAGATACAAATTTACAACCCCAATGTCTAAAAAATATTTCATCTCTACGGATTGTAAACACCTATGATCAGAGGCTGGCTGTTGGTTTTGGGGGCAAAGA